GAAACTGGAGGTTCAAGAGTTATTAACGCCGATACCGTCCATCACGTTCCAGGAACGGGATTCAACCCTTGATAGCATCGATGCCAGCCATCACAATAAAAGCTCTGTATGTTTAAGAGTTACTAGTGCTGATGTCGGCCGTCGCTGCCCTAAAACGGCAGATTCTGGAAACCTACACCAACCCAGTGGATGCATTCATGCATAGTGGCCCAGTGGATGCATTTATGGACACCGACTAAGTGGATGCATTCATATGGACAGTGACCCAGTGGATGCATTCATGACCACCGACTAAGTAGATGCATTTAAGCACATCGACTCAGTGGATGCACTCAGATACATCGACCCAGTGGATGCATTTATTTACAACGGCCCAGAGAATTTATCATGCGCAGCTAACAGTGACCCAGTGGATGCATTCATGGACAGTGACCCAGTGGATGCATTCATGAACACCGACTAAGTGGATGCATTCATGGACAGTGACCCAGTGGATGCATTAATGAACACCGACTAAGTAGATGCATTTAAGCACATCGACTCAGTGGATGCACTCAGATACATCGACCCAGTGGATGCACTCAGATACATCGACCCAGTGGATGCACTCAGATACATCGACCCAGTGGATGCACTCAGATACATCGACCCAGTGGATGCATTTATTTACAACGGCCCAGAGAATTTATCATGCGCAGCTCACTTTCTATTCCCAATAGAGGAAATTCAATGATACAACAGGCTATAACAAAGGACTTTGTTTGAGATTGTGAATTTATGACAGATAATTCTTGGGAATTAAGCCACATCTTGGAATTTGTGAGCCGTATTCTGAAAACTAATTTATTTGCATAAAGTTTAGAGCCTTTTTAACATTGGTCCTGAGTAACCCACATTTAGTTCAAATCTGCAAACTTGTATGAGATTCAAGACGGCAATTACATTGAAATTTATCAGGAACAAAATTTTAAAATCTGTCTTTTTCAGTACGAGAATGTTGACGCGCCCCTATTAAACAATTTAATTGAAAACATAAGTAGGTGTAACTTTCGTAAATTTTTTCGCCATAATAAAAAAACTTGCACATCATCGCTTGTATGGTACCTCCTAAGCTCATACCTTGATTTATGAAGACAAAGCGATGTTTAAATGCGATCTAGAATCTATTGACATAACGGCTGCTATGACAAATTCTACGGTGTTTGCATCCAGGATTTCAGTATCTCTTTCATCAGATAACTGTTAGACTTGTTTGCTTGAATATTGGTGCCAATATTTTATCATATTAGCTCAATTCAGCTCCATGACATTTGAAAATATTTTAATCTATAAGTTGTACAGATAATTTTTCAAAATATTTTTAGGTATTCAATGAAAATTAAATTAGCCGTTAATTACTTCCTGCAACTTTTCAACCTGATATGTCCAAAGGATTATTATTCCAACATAACATGTTCCAAAAAAATATATCACATCAATGGCACCAGATTAATGCAGCCTCAGTAAAGGGCTCCATGGGCACAAGGCCTAGGAGCGTGAGAAGCAGCATCCAGGAGCCGCGACGTATCGATTATCCCCAGCACACAGCTCCAGTCTTACTCTGCCCCCAGTTTCCCTGACGCTCCCAGACTGTGCTAGTGTGTCACTCCGGGCTCCGTATCTCCTTAGTTGGACTGACGCTGCCGCTATCGAGTGTTTTTCTCAGCTTGTAAAAGGTCGTGCGTGTCTGAGTAAAGTATTCATTACAAAATGAATTATTGGGAAAAATAAAAGTGATTATTTGCGTGTGCTGTGATTATAGAATGCATCTTAAAAGNTGGAATTTTGAGACATTGAAAATTAAGGAAAGATACTCGAATTAAAAACATAAAATGTGATAAGGGAAGTGTACATTTTATGCGAAAAAAAAACATTTAAACTATTCTTTGCAATTTAGCTACTGGAATTGAACGAGATTTTTGTGCTAAATGTTAGACAGAATAGTTTGGATTAATTACTACAACTCATATTCAAAATTAATAGATGAATTGCGGATGACGAGTTTGGAATTTACGAATTTCGGGATTTACGAATCTCGAGAATTTTTTTACGTAAATCGAATTTACGAATTTTTTTACGGAAATCAAATTTACGAAATCAAAGGATTTACGAATTTCGAGAATTTTTTATTCCAGTGACAGCCAGGTTAACCTGCTTGTTTTTAATAACACTGAAATTGTGTGTAAGCGAGAAATCCGTTCGTGTAGCTTAGAAAAATATCATTCTACACACGTTTTCAATCTCACAATAAAAACAAAATTCGTGTGACTTGACATATATAATATAATATTAATCTTGACATATATATAATTTTAATCCAATGCTTGCACTATTGCACTTTTTCTATTTTCTAAGATGGAATCTTACGGTAGCACAAACTGGGATGAGGACACGAAATTAAATATTGTATCCAATTTACGTAGAATATAATTTATTTTAAATATAAATTAACGTTCACGTCTCATTCGGGAATGGGTAAAATGTAATGAGATTACTCTTCTTTGTATGACGGGGGAGTTTGAACTGAAGTTGAGATTTTTCATATAACCAAAAAACCAATATTTTCGTCTCATGAAGATCAAATTTGCCTCTAGGAGTTCCAAATCTCAGTCATTATTTGTCCAGAGCAAAGCCGGGAGTAGTCTGGTTGGCCCTGAATAAACGTCATTATTAGTTTGTCAGCAGGTGTACTGTAGCCTGGAACTGAGAATTTTATATGACTGTTCAAACCTTCATCTATAATACCTAACTTCTAAGGCTACTAGCGATAGCTGGAATTTGAATCAGTTTGGTAATGCACAAGGGTAAGCATTGCAAGCTACATCTCGAAAATTGAAATAGAACATCGTCTCTCAACTTGATACGTTTGAATGCAATTAATCAGAGACTAAACCAAATATTCTAGAGTAAATCCGGACTACCAAAACCGTGTTAAACTTCTAAACAGATTATTTTTCATTCGAATGACATTAAATGGAATCGTCGAACTGTTCAAAATTATTTATACCGAATAACATCTGTTAATTTTCCAGTCTCATCGTTATGAGTGAGAAAACCTACTTTTTCGACAAGGATTTTTCTTCAAACTAGTATTTTCAAAAGCGTATCAGCATGTATGTTTTTCATTTCTTACGCAAAAAAAATAAATGAATAAATAAATGTATTTGTACAATTCCAGCTCTTTTCACAGTAACTTTCGCGCTGGAATTTCACAAATCGATAAACTGTTAGTATAAAAATAAAACATTATTTTTAATTTAATACTACACATTTTACTTATTTACAATAATACAAGTTCCCTTCTAATTTCCATTCCCGAAAATGGAAAAATCCCTAATTTCCATTCCCAATAAAATCGGGAAGTCCCCTTCTAATTTCCATTCCCGACTTTTAATCAAAAATTAAATTGGAGACGTAATCCGAATGTTGTTTGGGACCACGTTATCCTCAATTAATTTATGATGTAAATCATTAACGGTATGAGAGGAGCGGGATTAGAGAGAAGAGGATTAGAGGGTAAGGGATCCTCTAATCTTGGGATTATCTGTTTCGAGCGATGCCAGGGAGAGCGCTACTGCATGACATGTGCCCGGTTCTGTGCGTACACGATACGTCGTTTGTTATTCTGATTACAGTTATATTGTGCTTAGTATTAAGCCTCATTTTCTATTAATTATTCATATGTTGTGGGATTTGCGTTTGCTTTGTGGCTCCTTAAATGCAATTTGAATTACATTAATGCAGGAATTGGTTTTGAAATTAGTATCGTCTGTGTTTTCTGTGTGGAAAAGTTCTAGCGCGGTGACGTCTAAAACTTTCAACGTCAAACAAACCAATCTGAGAGGCATGTGAAACTTAATCCATTTGTCCTATTACAAAAACCCTAGTACAAAAAAAAAATTAGTCGGATACCATCTGATTTTGGAACTGGTCCATATTCACAATTTTTTTTTTTTAAAAGATAATTCTTGTGGGGTTTTCACTGATAACATCTTGAAAATTTTCTTTTGTCGACTGTAGATTGTAAGCATTTTGAAAGGGTCCAAGCTAAAATCTCATTTTAATATTTTACTTTCGTACAACTGCTGACAATTTCTATAGGATTTTTTCATTGAAGGAATTTTGAATTTTGATCAATATTTTATGTTGCGTTTAATCAACACAAAACTTTATTACAAAGTTTTAAATGCTCCTGAAGTATTTTCAATTCAGCTTTATCGTGTAGCTAAAATTTGCCTTGAAATAACCATTATATATAATTCATTAAAAGACAGTTATAACATCCCTGAAAAAGAGTTTGCAATCCTTTCCGTGACTGGCATGACGGCAGAAGATAATTACGAAGCTCACCGTTGTATTTTTAGATTACCCTAGTAATCCTGGCCTCCGCACTTTTGTAATCCAGGTGTCAGTACTTTATTAATCCTGGCTTCAATCCTTTAGTAATCCACACAGCCAAGGGGGACCAAATTCTTGTAAAGATAAATGTTGGTACATATGGTGGGGGGAAACTTAATTTAAGAGCTTACTGCAATAACAAATTTTTTAAATTAATAATATCCTTCCTATAATGTTTTTATCTATTAAATTTTAGTGGACGAATAATGTTGACTTTTCAACAAAATGTTTAATATTACTATTTTGGGATAAACACAGTGGCAATTGATTTACATTTTAATTAATTATGCCTACTAAATTTTTTTTTACATTTAAACTTACTCATATATTTTATTGCGGAAATTTCTGAATAATTTGCATACATGTGTTAAAACATGAATACAAAATCATTGTGCTAGAAATTTTGCCAAAAAATCGAATAAATGTAATTTATTGTAATTCATTGTCTTTCCTTATTGTAAACTTATCTAAGAATTTTTGATAGAAGTGTATTATTATTGCTCTCTTGTTATTTGAAAACTTACGATTTCATCAACATCATCAAACGCCTCGCCATCTTACAGATACAGAAAGCCATTCATGCAGCTTGCAATATTACATGGAATTTATTTCCATCTTTGAATATCACTTGTCTTGTCAAGGAAATTATTAATTAACGGCATTGATGCTCAAAAATTTTCTCCTGCATCAGGACAACTTTTTATCAGCCAACAAAGAAATGCTAGCATTCAAACTACATGAGAAATATTGTGTGCAATGCAAGAATAATTCTGTAATTTTGGCCTTTGCTGAATATTATGAACGATGCAGCGAATACTGAAGGTTTCAAAAATGTGTGCAACTGAAACTCATTAGTAACGTGTCAGGAAGAGCACACCACTGACTTATTTAATTCGTAAAATTTATTATTATGTACAGTTTGCTTCAAGTTGAATTTATGCGGCAGAAACTCAGTGAAGTGCAAGTGATGAAAGACGAAGCCAGGATTGATAAAAAAAGAAAATAATTAATTAAAAGCTATCCAACACAGGCGAAAATACATTTATCCAAGGTAAGATCCGGATCATATATACATACGGTGATTATATGGTGCTTTTTCAGCTAACAGAGGCGGAAAATTGTAAGATAATTTAGTAACCATGAGCTTTCTTTGCTGCTTTTCTCTTAAAATTTGAATTGTTCCAGTTTCTGTTTCATTAAAATTACAATTATTCGATGAATAAATAATCATTCAATTTAATGTGAAGTGGTTCAACCATTTTCTTCGATCGTTGTTCGGACTCAATTTTGTATAAAAAAATCTATATCAAATTACTATATATATAAACGATTTTTGTTCCCGTTAACCAATATTTTATGCATCATATTTTTTGTGAAACTTCAGATGCCAATGTTCCTTTCTCGGAAGAAAGCAGAACTCTAGTCGCTAAAACAACTGGCCATACGAATTCGTCCATAAGAAGAAAAACTGAAAAATTCAACTTATTGTCAATAAATATTCCTAACCAAGTCTGCTCATAATGTTTCTTTTTTATTTAATACAAGATTTCTTTTATTTGTACTCATAGATTCTTCACCGTCCCCAAGATTCGTTAAAAATTTTCGAGCTTGTGCCAAATTGCATTAAAATTATAACAATACTCATAAGGCAAAAATTTTAAATACTTTCTCCAACATTTCTTTATAAATATATTCAATATATAATCCAAGAGACTTCAAGTATTTTTTAGGAGTGTGGACCGTTTTTTAGTACACAAGTACAACGCATTGAGAACTTCTTGTGTTCCTTCTATTTTCTATGTACGAAATGTGTGTTTTGTATAATTTTTATTATGTCCTATTCGTCGACAAATATTCCATTAAACCACTTCTGAGCCATGATAAATTCTGGAGAGACACTTTTTCCCTGACAACTCAGAGTTACTCCTCTGAACATACAAATAAATCTTTCTTTTTATTTGAAGCAAATTAAAAATTTATTTATTCCGCTTAGTCTCCTAACTGCAGAATTTATGCTGCAACAAGGTAAATAACAAATATTCAAACAATCTTTCTGACATCGAACCAAACTTTCATTAATTGGAAATATAATAAATTTAGGCGGAATAATTTAGGTTTCATTACTTATTTTAACAACCGAAATTATATCAGCCAGTTTAGCCTGCTAACCTCCTTGCTCTCACGCAACTCTTTTAGAGCTTCGCAATTTCAACTTTAGATGGTAATAATTTTTAGAGAACTTCTCGCTTTGGTGGCATCTTTCCGCTACTATTCCGATAATAAGGTTGAAAACTTTCAGTATTTTTCTTGAAACTGACAGTTCAGTTTTAATTTCTCCTGCGCTCTTACCTGTCTTCTGAAGGTGAAATACATCATGGAACTGAATAGAAGAAACTGTAGGAAAACTTGCTTTTAAAAAGTAGCTCCATTCAAGGAAAAGAGGTTTGGATTCAAGTTCCTAGAACGCCTTCGTTTCGCTTCAAAATCGAAATATTTTTGAAAGTATTCATGACATGAATTACAACACATTCATGAGACTAGAATTTAACAACCGCGTTCTTTTCTAAGCTTCTTATATAAATTTTCCGCAGCGTCGAAGAACATAACCGGGCATTTTATTTCAACGAGCTCATAATGAAGCGTCTAAGTTAGGCAATGGACGGTTAAAACTTTCCTCAAAAGCTTGCTTCATTTTCGACAAAAGACTATTGCTTGTAACGTTATCTTTTCATTCCGTTCTGGAAGAATGTTTTCGGTGGATCTTCACGATTTTGTCAGTTTCCTGCGAGAAGCGAGGACGGGGGTTCGTTTTCTTCCAACAATTTAGATTGAAATAACATTTGTAATTAGGATAGATATTTATTTGGAGCGGGGGCTTGCAATTGAGAAAATTAGCTACACAAAATTAGGACAAAAGTTTAGTAGGATTACTCAGACATGGCCTAATGCCGATTGAATAATTACGCTGGGTGAAATTCTCGACTCTTGTTATCGATCATTTCTAATCAGAAAATATTGTAATTATGTTAAGATGACCTGAGGAGTTCGCTCTTAAATTATTATTCATTTTCTATAACTAATAATTCAAGGTAACTCACAGAATGTCCCACTTTGATTCTCTCTTTTAAACAATTATGCCAAAGTAGCTGCAGCAGTTCATGATTTTATTCTCATTTCTAAACAACTATGATAACATAGCTTCAGAAAGTCATGCTATGATTCTTTAATTTTTACGATTATTTCAAGGTGATCCTGCAATGCCAGGCAATGAATTATCTCTCCACAGTGCCGTTATAATACCTAGCTTCACAAAATATATTTCCCAACGATATTCTCATGCAAGAATAATTTTGCAGCCAAAAGGTTCTGCCATGATTCGATTTTGTTATAATCCGATATTCCGTTTCAAAACAATCATTTACTTCCAAATGTTTGCGGCGTTCTTGATAATTAAATAAGTAATTCATTTAACGTTTAAAACCCAGAATTTTGTTATAAATTTTTGGATATTAATTTCTTGTTCGAATTTTAAACAATACACAGCCCAAAACATTTCTGTGCATCAATCAATTAATTTATTTTTATTTAAACTTTTAAAATTACTCCTTTAAATTTAAAAATTACGAGCAAGTATTTTAATCTACATTTTCCCGTAAATTGTAATCGACTGGACAATAATAAAGTTTCAATACATGCCCATTAGTTTTTGTATGAAAACCCTTGGTTAGTTTTTAACTACTTGCAGAGCCGTGGAAGTATTTACATTTATTTCGATATTTTCAACCTATTTTTCAGGTGAGAAATCCCTGAAGTATCATCAATGTAATGATCTTGTTAGATGAAAGTTCATTTGCTCAAGCAGCATGATATTTTCTCAAAAAATTTTATGATAATCAAGTGAGATTTGCAGCAAATTCATACTCTTGGAATATATTGTCTTGATTTTTTTCTTTAATATAACTGACAAAAAGATCAGTTTAGCCTTATGAGCTGTCATCAGTAAAATACAAATATTGAAGTCACTCTCAGATCCTATTAAGCAAAATATTGGTCATTTATTAAATTTTACTCCTGCAGCTCGCAGACACTGGAGCAAGTGTGGCATCCACGTCGCGTTCTCCGCTATGATGATTCCTGGGCGATTCTTTTGAATAAATTTACGGTCTTCCGAAATATCAATCGGGATTGCAGTCCATAGAACCGACGTCCAAATCTCGGCCTTAGCTGGCAAGAGAAAGCTTTTATGCTCAGTGATATACGTCGCCGAAAAGACGGATGCCTCAGGGCGGCGCGGTCAACCGTCGCTCTGAATATTGTTAAGACACACGAGGCATGCGCGCGCGTGTAGAAAATGCGCAGGTGCAGTGAGAATGATGGCGATAGAACGCATGTCGCTACGAGCGGCAAATGCTGCCTGTTTAATTTGCATTTCGGTGTACGGAGTTTTCGATTAACTCCTGATAATATAATTACTGTGCAGTAATATAATTTAAATTCGGCGCTTTCACTCGAAAAATCGTAATAAAGCCCAGGACGAAATCCTGCTGGTTAGTAGGATTGTAAATTTGTTGTGTATACATAATTTTATTACACCCTGGAAACGGACAATTCACAATTCATTTTAAAACGCCGAAACAAAATGAATATGTGGAAATTTATTTTAATTAATTATAGTATTATATAGTTGTCAAGTTGCTGAGCTCTCGCTCCTTGATTCGCAATTACGCTTAATCAATTAGAAGTTTTTCTCAAAATTATATTTACGATTCCAAATGACTGCACAATTTTTCCATTTCTTTTTTCAGTTTCAGCTAATCAAATGAATGTCACCAAAAATGCATAGCTGACATAACTTTGAAAAATTTATTCATTCAGATTCTAATTTCTTAGTCTCATTGTTCACGGGAAGCAATGAAAAACTAACGCATAACTTATGTCCTGATATTTCTCTTGGTCCAGACCGCGGCTGCGTAACGAAGCGAGTGCACCAGATCACCGAGATTCGTCTGCAGGCAGACTGAGTTTCCCCGCATAACTTCTCGAAGAGGTAAGTCAGTAAACATACATTGAAGAACTACAAGGGTTGGTACAGTTGGTAAGATATCTGTCAATCCACATGCCTTTCGAAGCAAGAATATGACTTGTACTTGCTTTGAGTCCCATCAGTCTACATGCGGTGACATACTAGAAATAGGGTTGACAGTTAGCCAAAGATCATTCAGTCCCCGTGACTTCAAAAACTTCGATTATGTGGCTTGTGGTAAAGAATCAGGCAGTCCGTCTGCATTGAGAAGCTCCCAGAAAATGGTTCATATTGGCAAGGATTCAGGCAGTCCGACTGCATTGAGAAGCTCCTAGAAAATGGTTCATAGTAGGTACGGATTCAGGCAGTCATAATTATGCATTGAAAAATTACAAGCGTGAAAGGCTCGAAGTCGGTAAGATATCTGTCAGTTCACATGCCCTTCGAAACATCAGGAATATTACTTGTTCTTGCTTTGAGGCCTACATGAGGATCATTCAGTCCCCATGACTTCAAAACTTCGATTATGTGGCTTGTGGTAAGGAGTCAGGCAGTCCGTATGCAATGAGAAGATCCCGGAAAATAGTTCATAGTAGGTACGGAGTCGGGCTGGCCGCCTGCTTGGCAGCGTTGCCAACTGGTATATTTTAATACCAGATTTCTCAGATCTGGTATGCAATTGTAATGTCTGATGTTACAACTTTCCTCAAGCAGGCAGTAGACCATGTTTTTTTGTGAAAGTGTTAGAATGTTACGCAACAAGAGGAAAAAAGAAATGACCCATGTTCAATTACGCTAATTCCGTGTCAAACTAAGCAGTAAGCACAGTAAAAGGGATAAAAATTACTTTTACTTTTCTAACCATCATTTTTGACTAATAGTTCTATTAAATTTGGGGGTATTAATGTGTTTTGGACAAGAAAATTTTCCTATATATATCTGGTATATTGAGCTGGGCAATCTGGTATATATATACTCCGAGAGAAAAAAGTTGAAAACAACCAGTCCGTCTGCATTGAGAAGATCCCGGAAAATAGTTCATAGTAGGGAAGGAGTCAGGCAGTCTGCCTGCATTGAGAAGCTGTCAGAAAATGGTTCATAGTAGGGAAGGAGTCAGGCGGTCTGCCTGCATTTAGAAGATGCCGGAAAATAGTTCATAGTAGGGAAGGAGTCAGGCACAGGCAGTCTGCCTGCATTGAGAAGCTCCTGGGAAATGGCCCAGAGTTTGGAATTTCCGAGAACCGACAGTCATTGCACGGTTGCGGAATACGCTATGCCACGACGGACCCAAAGGGAATGCGGTATGTTACGTTAGGGAATGATGTATTCGTTCTATGCTAACGAAATGTGGCATATAGAATAGAATGAAGGCAGCATGGAAGGCTCACGCACTGTTGTGTGTCGAAGCTGAATGCATGCAGATCTGTATAATAAAAAGGGCATTTGCGTTAATTTGGTTAATTTTTAGTGCATTTTCTAATTTATGGCAAAAAGGCGCCATTGTGCTCGTCGTGTCCGTCCGTCCGTCTGTCCGTGACTTCACGTTTTCGTCGACGAGAAAATGCGCTCTCTGTCACTCACTGCAGTGAGTACTAAGTTATATTTTTTGTAATTACTCCCGCTATGCATATTTTAATCAGTCATGATTTGTGCATAGCTAGACAAATATGCTCCTCCATTGCCTAATATTACGAATTTTATTAACTGATACTGTTTGGGCTTGATCTGATTATTAAAATTGTGTTAATTTCACTATAGATTTTTCAATGTATTGTTTTATCGCTTGCTAACATTGAATTATTCAATTTAAATTTCAAAAAACAGGTTCAACGATACTGATTTAATTATGCGAACCTTCAAGTATTTCTTCTCATGCATTTCTTGCTCTCATACCAACTTGTCGGTGTCGTGGGTATAGTGGCAGCCCACAGGTTCGGTACTTAATGAACCGCCGTTATTTTTAAAAACTTCATTGCACAAATTACAGTAAAACATTGCACAAGGAACAACTCACTCTCGTGGACTTATCGAGATATCTGCAAGTCGACAATATGTATTTAGCATGACGTCTCACTAGACCCTTGTTGCCGTACTGAAGTCCACTTTCATACTACTCTTTCCTAATCCGCAATCTCTATTTTCGATTCTAACTTTCTCTAAGACATTCTTACAATACTAATTCTAATTAATTACAAATTTACAATACCTATATACTTAATAGAAGCCTTATATTCCAACAGTAAAATACAATTTACAACAAGCCCTCTACATAGCCTTCTTACATATCTGTTGGTGCCTTAAGGCAAATATTCAGAGGCTACCTTGGCACCAGCGAGTGATGCTCCAGAATTCCAAAATTTCCCAGGAGTGATGAGGTCGACGTGTGTGCGATATCCTATGCAAAACACTGCAAGCTTCGCGTGTTATGGTGATCTCTATGAAGGGAATTCGAACTTTTTCTGAAATTTCGGCGTTCAAAAAACAAGCATCAATATGAAGCATTATGAAGTTTATTCATTTAAGTAATCCATTACTATATTAAGAAGGCCATGGCTAGTGTAATTCAACCGTTTATTACAGTTGTGGAAGTTTGTTATTTCCTATGAACTACGTATATTTTGTGGATTTCTCATGTGTTTATTTTCTATGAATATTTTCCCCTTATTTTGTCTAACCTCTATACATAACTTCAGTGAAAATTCTAACTATAGAATTTTATTCTATTTGAGTTCATTTTATATATAAATGGCAATGATGAGCATTCACAAAAATAAATAAGCATTCGCAGTAAAGCTAAAAATCGTCAACTCCATAAGGTGAAATTAATCATTATAGTTATTTTCCTTACATTGATGTTAAGTTGTCAAGTGTAATTCAAATTCAAAGGATATAACACGTAGCTTGTCAGGATAAGCACCCTAACGTGGAGAAAAATGTATTCTGGATCCTTGAAACCATGTGAGGCAGAACAATTCGATATAGTGAAACGCGGACTAATTGCTATTTTTTACTCAATGAAAAGCATCGTTATTTTTTTAAGCGACTCAACCCAGAGCATGATGGCTGATTTCATTTTTTCTTCTGTATTACTTGATCAGACATAATGGCTAAACACTTCAATCCAGGAGAACATGGCTGATTTCACTTTTTTATCTCTCTCTTTCATTTAATCAGACACCATGTTAGGCTAAGCAGTGAGCACCTTAACCCAAAGGAATATGTCTGATAACTTTTCCTCTCTTTCACTTCATCAGACACCATGTGAGGCCAAGAACCTCAGCCCGAAGGCATGCCGACAGCTTCTCTATGTGTCACAACGCCGGAGCTGATATCCGAGTGACGCTCTTCGGCCCAGATGAGGGTGGCAAGAAGGCAGAGCGGCTCTGCTGTTTGTGGCAAGGTGTCAGCCACGCGCCCAAAATGTCACACATTCTGCTGGTGGCACTGGTAGCGTCCATATGGACCGTCTCGGTGGTGGGTGAAGTCAGGAGTCCTAGAGTTGTTGACACCCGCCAAGGCAAACTACGCGGCATCATCAAATCCTTGTCCAACAAGAACTTGAGACCCGTGGAGGTATTCCTAGGAGTACCATATGCTTCTCCCCCAACCGGATCCAACAGGTTCTCGCCCACCAGAGCCCCAGGCCCTTGGGAAGGTGAACGAGAAGCCCGACAATACGGACCAGTGTGTCCACAGCTACTTCCTGATGTTGACTCGCCGGTGTTCCCGAACAACAGGCTGCTGTCAGCCCAAAAATTAGTGAATTACTTGTCGAACCAAGCGGAAGATTGTCTCTATTTGAATATCCATGTTCCATCGCAAGGTAAGGTCATTTACTTTTGCATCAAACTTGCCAAACTCCCTCTTAAATTTAGAAAAGTGTAATGCAAATGGCTGGTAAACCTATTATTGCTTGTGACGGAAAACCCTGAGCTGCCTCAAAATTAAATCATGCAATGTATATGCAATGGAATATAGGAGAGTGGTCGTTTTTATTTAAAAACTAATTTTTTAATAGAATCATATACGCTTATCTTTTTTTCCTCACGTCAATCACAATTTGATATTTCATAGATTTTAAAAATACCTTTAGCTTAATGAAATTAAATAGATTAGGAATTGTGTATAATTGAATTCTATACAAACTTTTATAAATTCCAATTGCTAATCTTTAAACAAGCTAAACAGTAACCCACAACATCATAATGAATGAGTCACGAAATAATAATAGTCTTGATTCTATTTCCATAATATACAACCCCGTACATTATAACATGTTAACGAAATTATTTCAGCAATCAGAATTTGCTAGTACGTTCGTTTCAACTAATGTATTGTGATCACTCTACTACATGTTAAATTTCACGCAAAACATTGTACGCATGTGAGGATTACTTATCTCTATGAAATTCTCTGAAATTCCTGCTGCTACTTCTGCAGTCGTCGACACCGTGGGCCACAAGGCGTTCCCGGTGCTGGTTTACATTCACGGTGACAGCTTCGAGTGGGGGGCGGCCGACCCCTACGACGGCTCGGTGCTGGCGGCCTATGGGGAAGTCATCGTCGTGACCCTCAATTACAGACTGGGTCCTTTAGGTGGGCCTACCGAGCGCAATGATTGACGCATTATATTCTATCTTGCTTGAATCCAGAGCCGAGCATCGATCGAAGTCTAATCATTCATTTGATGGGATATTTACATATGGCTATCAGTTTTTCCTGCGGCTTTTTCTCAACAATAGGAGTTATAAATTGATTTTTTCCATTAAAATTTCCCAATTAAAATGGGTTATCTCCAAAACCAATTGGTATTGCGATGATAAATTGACTGAAAATGAACAAATCAATTATTCATTCCAGGATTTCTGAACACGAACGCTGACACGAGCACAAGAGGTCACGTGATGAACCACGGCCTCATGGACCAGATTGCAGCCCTGCACTGGGTCCAGGAAAACATCGGGGCGTTCGGAGGGGACCCAGGTAGCGTGACTCTCATGGGCCATGGCACCGGGGCCGCCTGCGTGCATTTCCTGATGGCTTCAGCAGCTGTGGTCCCAGGCCTGTTCCACAGAGCTATCCTCATGTCAGGATCTGCGCTGAGCTCCTGGGCATCGGTAGGATCTCCGACATACTATGCGATCCAGTACGGCCGCGCGCTGAACTGCTCTTCATTCTTATCGCTTGGATCCTCGGACCCACCGTCGAACGACCAATTTGACCGAATGGTGAACTGCCTCAAAGACAAATCATTAGACGAGTTACAGAGTGTAAAGCTCGCTGCTCCACGATTTTTGTACTCTTTTGGTCCTAGCGTGGATGGAATAGTAATTAAACCTGATTTCAGACGACCAGCTCGATCAAGATCCGACGAACCAAGCAAAGAATACGACATTCTGTTCGGAGTGGTCCCGAACGAAGCCTTCGACGACTTTTCCGAGAATGAACTCGTTCGAGGTTTTGATATTCATAGAAGAGATCGCATTTTCAGAACACTGGTGCGTAACACTTTTGACTATCACCTCAACGAAGTTTTCATCTCTGCGGTGAACGAATACACGGATTGGGAGCATCCTGATGCGCCACCGAAAGCCGTTCGCGACGCCACGTTGGCAGCGCTTGGCGACGCTCGATATGTTTCGCCACTTTTACAGTCCGTTGCTGCCCTGAGTGCCGCTCACCGTCAACATTTCTTTTACGTCTTCGACCATCAGCCGCTCTCAACTAAATTGCCAAGCGTGCGTACGGGATAAAAAATGAGGATTTCCTTACCGCACCCAATGTGTTCAGGGAATTTATTCGTTTCAGATAGACCAAAATTCATCATGATCCAAGTGTAGTTTTAGTATAAAATTTTAGTAGGGGTAGCTCAAATCTTGATTATTTTCTCTAATATTTTCCTCATATTTCGAGAAATTAGTTTATGTATACAAGATGAATATAATAGATGAAAATTATGATTATAGACATTCTGAAGCTTATTAGGCATTGCGATAAGAGGTACAGATGATTTTGAAAGGATTTATCTGACCATGGATTACTGGCTGGCCGTTACTAAAATGATATGAACTGAAGCCGCTGACAGGGATGATCGATAAGCGGGCACAGGATAATCTGCAGTACACACATTTATCGTAATACTGTAAGTATATACCATTGCATTTCTCACGTTTCAGGGACTGACAGGCACCATACACGGAGAAGAACTCGCATATCTCTTCGGGGCTCCACTGGTTGGTGAGCTCGGAGTTTTCAGCAACACGAATTGGATCATGATCCAAGTGTAGTTTTAGTATAAAATTTTAGTAGGGGTAGCTCAAATCTTGATTATTTTCTCTAATATTTTCCTCATATTTCGAGAAATTTATTCATGTATACAAGATTAAAATAATAAAATGAAAAGTTTTGATTCCAGAGATTCGTAGCCTTATAAGAGGTACAGATGATTTTGACAGGATTTATCGGACCATGGATTTCATGCTGGCCCTTGATAAAATAATATTAACTGGCCGCTGACAAGGATGATCGATAAGTAGGCACAGGATAATATGCAGTACCAGCATTTATCCTAATACTGTAAATATTGACCATTGCATTTCTCACGTTACAGGGACTGACAGGCACTATACATGGAGAAGAACTCGCATATCTCTTTGGGGCACCACTGGTTGGTGAGCTCGGGGTTTTCAGCAACACGAATTGGAATCAACAGGACATGTTGGTGTCTGAAGCTATGATCACATACTTCACTAACTTCGTCAAAACTGGGTAAATAATAGCCTACAAAATTACTTTAATATCAGTAGTTGCTACGTTTGTTTGCTCAAATCGCTTGTACACCAAGAATTTATGAGCAATGAATGTCCGATTTCTTTAAATTTCTCCTATTTTCGCGTTTCCAATAAAAATTGTGACTTTACTTAGTATTTTCTTTCTTTGATTTAAAGTTCTTACTCTAATATCCATTATAACCATCTGCGCTCATATTATTAGTTTTTATTTGAAAAGGTGATGAATTATCTTTTTTATTGAAGATATCGAATTGTAGGGTGAGTTTTAAACCTATGCCATTATGGCACTTTTTCGTTCCTAGGATATGACATCCATAACTTCAACGAGATTATCACAACTGATCAAACAGTTCATTGATTGATCGAGAAATGCTTTTCGTGTCTGAAAAATTAAAATTAAACCTTCGCGAAACTTTTCCCGCACTTGGAGCTTAAACGTGATTTTCCTTTTAACCGCAGTTTTCACCGATTCGATGTAACTTTTTCTTTCACTAAATTTTGCTCATTAATTCACTCCCAGGGACCCAAACTTCCTCACCGGCCAGGAGCTGAGAGTGAACACTCGAATGACATCCAAGTTACGTACCGAGAAGTGGCATCCATTTGACATGGATTACCAACGATATTTCAGCATCGGTAAGTTTCTTTAGTCCTTTCCAATTCTGATGCATCGTTATCAAAAAATTAGCTTGCAACATCCATTATTAAATAAATGTTAGCGAACACACGTGGCAACATTTCAGGAGAGTATCCCATTTTGTTTCAGGACCCGTCGTAACGGCCAAAGATCATTACAGAGCGCATCCCCTTGCCCTGTGGACATGGCTAGTTCCACAACTTCAAACTGTAGGCCGGCTCGAGTTTTTGACGCTGAGAGCACCGAACGTTTTGGATCGGCAACGAGATGACGAATTTGACCCAGAGAAACGGTTGCAGGAGTTGTCAGTGTTACACCACCTGTTTCCCACTCATGATGACCCGGCTCTGTACATCGGAGGAGTGAGACCGCTCCGACATATGGCTGGTCACTATATAGCACCGCCTTCAACCACGGCTGAGATTCCATCTACCAGCTTACCACAACCCCCTCCACCTCCAATTCAACCCCTTTCAACTGACGTTCATGCAAACGCAAGTGCAATGGCTGAGGCAACAATGCCTCTAGATGCCGTTGACTACGTGGCGTACAGCACTGCCTTGTCGGTTACTGTCGCTATTGGCGTTTCTTTACTCATCCTCAATATCCTGATATTTGCAGGCGTTTATTACCAACGTGATCGATCACGCATGGCAGATAAAAATGAGCAGCAGACACGACTTAGCAGTGCCAGCAGCAGTGACCATCAAATGACAGGACTTAGTGGAGCTACGGGGTCAGTACTCGGGTCAACTTCAGCTTTAGATGTCATTGCAAAAACTCCACAGTCAGCAATATCTTCTTGCAATATCATTGACGCAACTCCATTCACCCAGACGCAAGTTTTCACTCACATCTCGGAGTGTCCGCCGGCTTTCGCCGACACTTTAGTCACGTTCAGCGGCGACGCTCAAACAGCCTTACCTAATCTGCCGCCGTCAACTTTACCCAACGGAGATCTGAGTATCAGTAGCATGCCTAGACCTCCCCCTCCTCCGCGGTTGATGCAAGACGAGCAAACTTTATTGCCTTCAAACATCCCAAGGCCTCCTAGGGGAAAAATTCCCAACTGTGACGAGCTTAGAGTTTGATGGCGTCGCCCTCTGGTCACCGTCCTACCATCGTCATCGTCGTCCGTGAGCAACGAGTCGCCGAGCGTCGTACCCTTGACGACTCTGTCGCCCAGAACCTCGACCCCTCCGCGAGTAGTGGACTATTATGGCAACGGTCTTAGCGATGGCGTAAGTTTGACCACGTCCTTCAGGTCTGACGAAATCTCTTCGACATGGCCGAGGAAAATGAAGGTCATTGATAATGGTCCAGAGGGCGCATCAAACATACAGGAAAATACGCCTGATAATACACATAATATATCAAAGTATCCTGATAATGTAGATATAGCCGCGGAAAATTGGAGTAGAAATTTTCAGTCTCAAGTCGTTCATCCCAGGCTCTTTCATAGTCCCCCTGATAGAATTTCAACCATGCCTAAAATATTTAGGCAACATAGCTTAGATAAAGAGTACACACAAAATACTCTGCACAACAATCAGCAGCTGAAAAACTCGCCTCTCATTTCTCTCTCTAGAATCTCTTCGCAAAACATAATTCAAGAAGGAGTCGTCTTACATCAGTCACTCCTCGCTATGAACATGCCTTGCACCACCAGTTCATCTCATGTTAATTTAAACGCGACGTCTGACGCTAGTAAAGTTGCAGTCAAAAACATGTCTGTTTCTCAGTCGTTGTCGCCGCAAGGACGGTCTGTTCATTACGTGTCTTCACCTACCACTGATATTTCTATCTCTGAAGACACACGAGAAATTCCATTGGAGAAACAAAGCAGTAACATAAGCCCCATTTTGAAACCTTTACCTAGTTTATTACTTCAGCCTCCAAGTCTTTCTGTGTATCATAGCGGTAGTGAAGCATCGCGCGGTGACTCGCAGCATTACGGATCATGAGAATGAGTCTTCAATTACCATGAAAATAATTTAACTTCGTGCACCATCATTATCCAGGCAAAAAAAATGCCTACCCCATGGTCAAAATGAAAAGTTTCATACAGGGATTTGATTTTTCCAATTTTCCGATTTTCTTGAGTTGATGACCGTAATTTTGTTTTGCAGATGATATCCGCCTTATGTTAATCTGTGCTAATGGTATTTTTGATTAAATTGTAGCTCATGATATAACTGAAGTAATGACAAGGCACCAGATTTTGGCAGGGGTTGCATGTTCAGTGAAATAACTCATTATAAAATAAATTGTCGCCAGGTCAATTGGTAATAACGATAAATACATAATAATATGCATTAGCGATGCTCTTTTAAAAATTTTATTCACAATTTGTACCTTGATTAACGCGAAGTACTTCACATATCCGAGCTCACAATCAGTCATGAAAACACGGAAACCTCGTGTAATTTGTACGCATTTCGTTGAATTTTTCTCATCCTACTTCATTCGTGTACAGAATATAGGAGCTAATAAGGAGAACGTATGTGAATGTATGTGCATTTTTCCAAGGTGGTATTCTGGACGATTTGATTCATTTTTATGGCAGGGAAATAGTTCTTGATCACTATCTCTCCTACTAAGAGGTCGATTTAATAGAAATCACACGGCAAATACTACCCTTACTTCTATTAGGCAAAAATAATCTAAATGGCAATCAATTCCTATTACTATTCTTCAGGTTGTATTTGATACTCATTCATCGGGGGCTCGTGAGAACCTACTCTAAAAGAAGATTTTTATAGTATTAGGAAAGGATTTTACATAATTAATTTGTTAAATATTAAGAGTAAAGAGTCTCGGAAAAAAATACTTACTCGTATTAGGAACAGGATTTTGTTAATAATTTGTGAAATAAGATGAGCCAAAAGACTTTAAGAGAACCTTCTTTGGGTAATAGAAACAGTATTTTGTTAAAGTTTTTGTTATTGGCTGTTAAATCTATCTTTGAAGAAGGCGTTGAAAGAAAGTAATTGACTAAAAGAATAAATTTCCGCATTATAATTTCTCGAATCAAAAGAGTGAACAAAAGTTGGTAGAAGTTTTTTCTCGTTTGAGAAACATGATTTTATTAACAATTATTAAATCTATGGAGTGACCGGACTTTGAACGGTCATACTCGTATAGGGAAAAGATTTTTTTAATACTTTCTTTAATCAGAAAGGTGAACCGATTTTGAAACAAGATTATTCTCGTATTAGGAACAGGATTTTGTTATTGAATTGTTGAGTCGCATGAGTGCATTAAGAAGTAAGACATTATGTTATATCATTTACTCTATTGTGTAATTCAAGTTTAATTAATGTAATAAACTTTAAATAATTGTGAGAGATTCTTAAACGGATTCTTCAAGTTTGACTTGATAAATTAAAATGTTGAAACTTTACAGTGAATTTGATCCAAATACTGTGCCATACTAATGATCAATAATGGTTTTACTGCAGTTATATATCAAGTTCACATTATTCTATGGACAATTCTGATGATATTATCACATTGAAATTTGTCTGTTCTATCATAAGGTAGAACTTGGATACTAAATTTATGTAAAAATTACATGAAATGTAATTGCAAATTATTCATCAATTGAAAATGTTTCAATTCATACGCCAAGGAAGCAAAGGATTTTTACTCAATTCCTAATTGTGCACAAAAATAGAAGTAAAAATTGCAATGACATGGAATGGAAGCGTAATCATTATTTCATAATATGAGCAGATTTTGAAATTTTCTGAATTTTTTAGAAAAATTAAATCGTTTTATATACTGTATCAAAGTTTTGTACATATTAATCAATCTATTTATTGATTGGATGAAGCTGTTTTCATAAATAAAATGTCTATGTTTGCTCAAATTTATTGTCCAAGAATTCACTCCTCGCGTAAACTACAAACCAATCCATGACATCCTTCGTTAATGCCTAATTTTACTTTTATCTGTTAAGTGTTAGCAGATTGCTCAGTAACTTCACTCTTGAACCTACGAAATATAGCCATACATTTTACTTTTACAACGGTTTACCAAGAATATATGTGGCTCCTGCTATAAAAACCTATACGAGAGAAAAGGTATAAACGTGTGTAGGTCAACAATGTCATGAGCTTCAATACGCCACGACGGACAGCATTCCAACGACACGCAGAATTCCGCAAAAAGCGCAGTATTTCACAAAAAAATTGCATTCTCCCAAAGGTCATCATCCCTGAACGCCACGACAGACTGCATTCCAACGACACGCAGAATTTTGTAAAAACACAGTATTTCATAACAAAAAAAAATTGATATTCTCCCAAAGCTCAACGTCCCTGACGACCTCCATTGCTACACGGCATTCATCTCATGATGGTCGTGCCAATTACCCCTTCTAATTCGTCCGTTTGCAGAGGCGCCCGGGCAGGCGATTGAAGTTCTATGGCTGGGCGGCCGCTTCGTGGTCCTCGGATTAATAGGGGCGTTATGCCATAACATTCTCTGATGTTGTAATGCTCATTAGAAGCTGCAGCGATCAGTCTATGCCAACGTCAGCCTTACTAATGTAATGGACGAGGCTCGCTTCTCGCTGCAGAATGTTCGGGCGCCGTAGCTTGCAGCCCTGATTCACTGCAGGTCCAAAGACGCTCTAGTGAAATATTGATAGAGAATGATAGAGAATGGTTAATTTTTGACCTTTCCTGTTTCGGGATAACTAATTTAATCAAATAAATTATGGTTTCTCAGTTTATTTAAAACACAGCATTATTATTCAGGCAATTTTAATGTGTAATGTTGCAACTTTTAAAAACAAGAAAAGAATAATATATTTTATGAAATTGTATCACATATCTCATCATAAAAAAGTAAGGCAATATCAATGTAATGTTAATGGAATTGGGAAGAGATCCTCCTAATTTAAACCCTAAAAACTCGCAACAGAACATAAGCGGAAACATCTCGAGTCGGAAACCCGGAACGTCGAAACTGCTTCCGACACAAGATTTATGGTGGGAGAGTAATTTTGCGGACTAAATATTTCCGTTGAAAATAATCCTCAAGAATAAATTGCCAGCATATTTTATTTTATATGATAAATTTAAACCATTATTGCAAGGATAATTTTGCACGAAATTAAAATCTGTACCAAAAGACATTTTAAGCTACAAAAAATTCTCGTTCTGCGGGCATCATTCACGCATTCTATCTTCTTCCAGCAACTTGGAGCATTTGTTACTGATGACTGAATTCTTTAGCAACAGACATGAAGGTAAAATTGTGCAAGACCAGTTTTTATATCTTTTTCTATGTATACAATAAAACCAAATGCAGGAATCTCTGTATCAATTTTAGCCGAAGGGAGACAGAAGCGACTGCATAATGTCGTTGCCCCGCGGATCCATGTCTTTGTCACAAATTCGATCCTTGTCAGCAATGCCAAGAAGTTCAGCCTCCGTTTGTCACGGAGACAAACGATACCCGGACTTCATTTGTCTCACAATCTCAGGTAAAAATCTCTTGACTCCGAAAAAATAAAGAGTAATATATTGCACTGCCAGGACGGCCTGCAGAAATGAGATGCTATGAAAACGAAGAGTTTTTTGGCATCCTCTGGGTTGAAATTCATACGCGTTCTAGAATAGATATTAGTTCTGGATGTATCACTCTGAAAAATAGCAAAATAATGTGTGCTTTTTCGATATAAATAAAATCGTTGGGACAGGTGATGAAACCTTGATGTCTGTTGAGCACTTAATGGCCTTATAGAACAAACAAACATTTAAATGCCAACAAAATTACGTATAAATTTCCGTTACTATTCAGATTTTGATCTCCTCCTCCACGTAAAATTTCAATCCTTTTTAGCGCATTTTCTCATTTATGGAAAAAATGCCTTATTGTGCTCGTCATGTCCGTCTGTCTGTGACATCACGTTTTCGTCGACGAGAAAATGCCCTCTCTGCCACTCACTGCATTGAATACTGAGTTATATTTTTTATTATACTTGTATTCTTAAATTTTTGGACTAAACTTCATCACGTTTTCAATGAAATCACAGCGAATTTGCTTGGCATTTCCTTGCTTTTAAAACCTTTTATGAATCAACTGGAGATTGAGCCGAACTCTTAAGTGTAAATGTTCCTGAGTTCCGCTGCCAAGTTAAAATTCAAATTTGTTTTAATTTTCAAACCAGACATGACGACACGCCTAATGTAAAACGAAAAGCTGTGGAGACATAAGACAATGCTTGTATTGAAAAACCTAGGAGAACTTCGTTGCACGATATATTGATTCACAGCTGCCATCAACTTACAAATATTGTAAAATTTATTGTGTAAAGTTCCTTATGCACAATTCCGTCAAAATGGCGAACGGATTTTCCGGACATGCGGATGCATGTAATTATCCGGCGTGTTTAGATTTCTCTTCGCTTAAACAGCGTCTAATTCGAGCCTAATTCTAGGTACCAACAAAGCGATAGCCCCAAACTTTGCTCAAAAGCCCTCTCTTGCTACAAGTTCTTAATGATGGCCATCCTGCAGGTAACGGTTTCTCACAATACCGCATCATGTCTATATTTTCCGCCAAACTGGAGAAGTTGAACATTAACGGCACTCAAACTTTGTAAAAACACGCGCTAGTTACCTACTCAAAATAAGCCGGTTCTTTGAACTCAACTAATCAGCCAGCTGAGCTAAGGAACGTTTACATTTTGAGTTTGATTG